GCCCAAACAAACAAACAACCGACACAGTTTAGATAATTCAGCAGACAGGCTTAAACTTTTCTCACCAGGGCCAAACCACCCAGGCTGAGAGGGATACAGGAGGAAGAATGAGATGCTTGATCAAAATTCTCCCACACGCAAATCGAACTCAGAATTTTTGCTAGCATTCACTAAAGACGCTGGTTGGTTTTAGATCACTACGAAAGACAAAAGGATACCTGTCAACAGGTAGGATAGAGAATGATTTTTTATTCTCATTAATTTTTTTAAGATTCGCAGTTAGAAATCAAACCAATCTACGTTAATTTATGTCAGTGCTAATAATTATATAAACTGCATCTTCTTAGCCTGCTTGATGTAGGCCTATCCTCAGTAATAATATTTTTATTAGATCTAATAAGGCTTTTAAAAATTGACATACGGGAACTTTCTTATGCAATCTTAATGAAGTATTTATCTGTTTGTCTATCTGCCTGTCTGTCTGTTGAGCGAGTTGGATTTTGTCGCTGGGCTTAGGCAAGTAGATAGTTTAAAATGGTATTGAGCAACGAGGCAGTCTGAATTATTCTGTGCTACTGCTCAGTTACCAAGGGATGTAACCCATGAAACAATAAAATAAAATTGAGTCGTTCCCTTTTGTTATGCCTCAATTTTTTTTTTTAACTACATTTCTGTACTTTTTAGTATTGTAAAGTTTTACTCTCCCATTAACACAGTTTAGATCATTTGAGAGGTAGGCTACTTCGATAAAAATATTTTACCAGAGTTCATATTGTAGTTTCATTCTGGGTAAACAGTTTTGACTAGTAATTACTGTTGCTTAGGCTTGGTTTAGTTTGTAGTACGCTTCAAATTACATGTATACTAATTTATACTCACTGTACATGTATAATAGACTTATATAATATAACCGTACCTGTCGAATACGCGAACCAGGAACCCAGAAAAATTATTAGCTCTTAGACTTATTCTTACTTGGACAGTGGAATTTTGGGGGAGAGGGGAGATG